GTGCCCACGACTGTCACACGGAAGACGACCCCAGTGCCCATGACAGTCACACGGAAGCGGACCCCAGTGCCCACGGTTGTCACAGCAAAGGAGACCCCAGTGCCCACGACTGTCACACAGAAGGAGACCCCAGTGCCCACGATTGTCACAGAGAAGGAGACCACAGTGTCCACGACTGTCACACAGGAGGAGACCACGGTGCCCACCACTGTCACACAGGAGGAGACCACAGTGCCCACTGTGGTCCCACAAGGCCTGAGCCCCAGCAACCATTTCTTCTTCCCTGTGCTCATCCCGGCCCTGCTCATGTTCCCGGTGCTGATCTGGTGCATCTGGTGCTGCAGGAGGGTGAGTGCCCCCTGCCCACAGTCCTGTGGCCTAGGCCCTCGCCAATCCCCCGAGGGACCTGGACGCTCTCCTGCCCCATGGTCCTGCCTGTGGGCAGGTTCCCGTCAGCTCCAAGGTCGTCACGTGAGCACCAGAGGCGCAGGCTCTGTACTCCATTCCCGGTCACACACACAGCCTGGGCTTCTCAGGAGCCTCCTGCCTCATGGGTGCCTCAGGGAGGTGGCCTACGGGCTGCCCTGCCCCTGGGGAGAGGTGACCCCAGGCCCCTGAGACCAGGGCTGCCTCACAGTGGCCAAGCTTCTGGAGGACTCAAGTGGACCAGAGCCAGGAGGAGGCCTCTGCTGTTGAGGGAAGAAGGAGGGTCTGCAGGAGACACAGAGGGCCCCAAAGAGAGATTGATGCTGGCTGGTATGATTCGGAACCTTTGAAAACCAGCATGGAATCTGCACATCTCTAGTGCCTTCCGTCAGTCCCTCCTCAGTCGTTACTGAGCACGAGGACATGCTGGGCCCCCTGCTGGGCACAGAGGGACAGAGTGGGGGGCCACCATCCTTGCCCACAGGAGCTCACAGCCTAGTGTCTGGTCTGGCATTGGTGCCCGGGGGTATTGAGAGTAAAATGTCGACCTTCATACCGTGTGGCAATTGCTTTGTGTAACCAGAGCAAAAGCAAAGGACAGGGCCTGCCCTGGAGGAGAGAGGGAAGGCAGAGGCTCTGGCTCACTGGGTTTGCAAGGACACATGCCAGAGAGCTGGAGGGAGAGAGAGGCGGAGGCAGAGGTGTGAAAGGCCTAAGCAAAGCCGCAAGAAGCAAGGCCATAGAATTTCTACAAAGGGGGAGCAGCGATGAGAGAAAGCCTAGGGGCAGGGGCCTGTCATCCCTGAGGGCTGCGAGGCCAGGGAGGGCTGCAGGGCATGGGGAGGGGAGGCGGGGAGGACGGAAGTGGGGAGTGTTCTCTTGTCTTCACATGATGTAAGGCTGCTGAGGAAAGGACCAGGCAGGGTGGCTCTACCAGGGACCAGGACCTTAGTCTGCTGTCTTCCCGTCCACCCTCCAGGGAGGTACCCATTCCCCTTGGACACCGAGCAGCCCAAGGCTCAGGGAGCTGGAGCCTGGTAACCACAGACCACAGGCAGCGGGCGCCCAGATTGACACCCCTTGTTCTGTCCCTGTGCTGCAGAGCAGGGTCCCGTCCTGTTTGCGGGGCTGAGCCAGAGCCCTCCCCGCCCCTTCCAGCCTGTGTTTGTCTCTTTAACATTCTAGACCGTCAAGGAGCCACCACCAGTGCAGAAACCAGAAAAGGTAGGTGCTGTTAGGTCCTGATGCTGTCAGCATGCGTGATGCACACACTGAGCTTCCCAAACAGGCCTCCTGCAGCCTGTGGGGCTGTTTCCACTCCCGCCCGCCAGCTCCCGAGCCCCTGGGCAGAGAGAGCTGGCAGAAAGGAGACAGAGGAGCAGGGGGAGACCTGGGGAGGACGTGGGACACAAAATGTTACCCACAAAAACCCTTTCTGTGCTCCCAACCCAGCCTGACCCAGGGCCTTTGTCACTGAGTTAGCAACTTGGGGTAGCCTGCCAGGATCCCTGCTGCAACAAATGGGGCTTTTGGGTCAATTCCCAAATGACTGTTTGTAGGATGGTCCTTCACCAGGACTCAGGTGAGTTCTTGGAAAAGGGGTCTCAGGTTTCAGGGACCTCGTCCCCCCTCCAGGTCTCTTGTATGTTGGGCTCCATTTCCTTGGTCTTCATCCCTGTCCTCTGGCGGGGTGAGGGGCTTGGCTGGGGTTGGCCTTTAGGGACTGCAGGGCTGAGGAGGGTGAGGGAGTCTTCCCTGGCATTGAGCTGTGAGGGCGGCCCAGCCCAGGGTAGCACAGGGACTAAGGGTTAGGTGAGCAGGCTGTGGTTCGCTGGGCGTCGGGGCCAGAGCAGTGCCCATAAGAACTCGTTAGAGGTGGGGCCCGGGATCCCGAGGCATGGGGACCTGGGCCTGGGATCTGGAGGGCAGCAGGCCTCACTGCCCAGGACTGGCCTCTGTGCTGGTTGCAGTGTGGCCTGGGGAGGCTGGATTTGCCCGAGGCGGGGAATACAGCCGTGTCACCTGGAAATGCTCGCAGCCCTGACGGCCCTCCATGACGTTGCATGGCCTCACACCAGGCTTCTCCAATAAGGGCGGCCTCCTGGAAACCAAGGGGAGGGGACAGGATTTGTTGGTCTTTTGGGAAAGAGCCATCTTTGAAAACTGAAATGAGTCTGCTTGTTTTTCACACCGGGCCCCTCTCCTATGGTGCAGGATGCTGCTCCTTTGTCTTTGAACTCTCCAACAAGCATTTGCTGAGTGGCGGGTTTTTGACAGCTGCTGGGGCAACAGATGTCATGTGTCTCTACCCCAGGAGCTGCCAGACCAGGAAGCAGACAGTGTTTTTTCTTCCTAGGAGCCAGAGACATGCCCTACAGTGATTGTCCCTTGTTGTGGGTGCCAGCAAGACCGGATAAGACAGATGGAGGTGAGAAGGGCGCTTAGAGAGGGCCTGTGACCCCTAGGCTGGGGTGTGGGAAGAGGGGGCAGCCAGTTTATGCCACACAGGCCTGGCCCTGAAGGTATGGCTTGGGTGGAGATGAGCTCTATGGGTACGGGACTTTGATCACTCAGTGCCTGACAAAAACCCGAGGCTTTCTTGACCCTCGTGGCCAGCGTAGGAGAAAAACTATGGGGGCTCATGCTCACACCACCACCAGCAGTGTCCTAGCTTCAAGTCTCCCCTTTGGAAGGGGCCCCTTCTGGACATTGGTGGCTGGCTCACAGCCGGCCAGTCCCTGGGTCTCCGAGGTTTGTCATCAGCTCCAGCGATGGCTGGGCTTCACCGGCCACCAGGTAGATGAGTGAAGAGAAACTACATCACAGACAGGCCTGTGCAGGTCACAACAAAAAAGGAATGTTCTGAGCCAAGTTCTTACACCAGTAAACTACCCAGCAATGGCAGTGGCTCCTGCTGCCCCTGCAGAGGGTCCCTCAGCAGACTGAGGGGAAGAACCAGCTGCATGTCCTTGTGGCCACTGAGATGGGAGACGGGGTGCAGGAGGAGGGGGCCTGAAGGAAACCTCCTTCCCCAGAGAGTGCTGTGGCCCCAGCCTGGTGAGGGAGAAGCCAGCCCACCAGGAGGCAGGAGATGACAGGGCTGGAGAGGGCCCTGGGTGGCCGGTGATGAGGAGGAAAGCACCCCATGGTCTCTGCCCGGCTTTGCCCTCCTGCTCCCTGGTCCTGCCTCTCTCCCTGGTCGGATCTGTTGTTCCTCCTCGGAGCCTCAGATGGGAGCTGGAGAACCAGGCCTGCCTCTCCCCTGACGGTCAGTGTAGGGGCACAGAGAAGCCAAACACACCTTCCAGAGAGGGAGGAAGCCGCCTGCCAGGGGCTTGCTCTTGCTCAGAGGGCATGACCCCCACCCCACCAGGACCCAGAGTGGCCCGAAGTATAGGAACTTGCAGCCATGATGCCCCCCACCACTGGGTCCAGGGACACCTTCTGGTCTGTTCTCTGCCTTCCCTTCCTGCTGCCTCTCCCACCCCCCACCCCTGTATCAGGAACTGGACTCCCGAGCAAGGCATAGGTCCTCTTCCCTGCCTTCTCCTTGTGCCCCCCAAATAAGGCCCTCTTCCCCCCTTCTTTGGCTCCTGCCCAGGTCTCCCATGCCCACCTCGCGTTTCCCCTTCAGGACCTCTCCTTGGCCACCACATATCTCCTCCAACCTCTGAACTTTTTCTCTAAAAGTAGCCCCTGACTTCTCCTCCTGCATCGAAAATACTGATTTGTCCCAGATTCCAAGACAGTCTGTGTCCCACAGTGACCACCCCCGTTCAAAAGGCACCAGACACCCTCCCCTAGGTGGAGGCTGCAGTGCTGTGTCAGCGAGTTCATGGGTCAGAGCCCCCGGAAGCCACTGGGAGCTGGAGGGGACACCACCCCTCTGGAGACAGTGTCCACGCCTATAGGTTCATCCCAGCCATATTTGCCTTTCAGGGCAAACTGGATACCTTGTGTAACTTTGTTCAGAGCTGCAACCAGGTGCCATTGATGTGGTGTCAGCCCAGGGACAAGGTAAGCAGGGGTCAGGCATGTTCCCTGAGGGGGAAGGGCCTTTGATTTTGACCCTTGACAGTTGCCCTCTGGGACTCTGGGTCATCTGCCGAGGAGGAATGGCCAAGACATGGAGACATGGTGCTCGTGAGCCTCCCAGCACCATTCTGGACATGACACCCATGTATTTCCTTTGCATTGTCATGTCAGGAGTGTCAGGATCTTTCTTATCTAGAGCAATTCCCGGCCCTTCCAGACCTAAGTAAAAAGGGCTGGAGAGGAAGGCAGGCCAGTGAGGGCTATTGGCCTCCCAGTCATCATCATCCTCACTGCCCACCCAACCCTGCGAGTCTGCTGGCTCCTCCCCCTCCACTGAGACTCTCCTGGGCTGGTCACAAGGAGGCCAGGAGTGATGGAGGGCATGGTGACACCCTCCCCAATATTGTCTGCCCAACAGTGACTGGTTTTAACATGTAGTAAAGGTTCCATCCATGTATCATTGCTTGAGACAACGGTGAGAAGCCATATTGCTAGAATTGTCATCTTTTTTTTTTTTTTAAAGATTTTATTTATTTATTTTTTCCCCCCATAGCACCACTAGGTAGTTGTATGTCATAGTTGCACATCCTTCTAGTTTCTGTATGTGGGACGCGGCCTCAGCATGGCCGGAGAAGCGGTGCGTCGGTGCGCTCCCGGGATCCGAACCTGGGCCACCAGCAGCGGAGCACGCGCACCCAACCGCTAAGCCACGGGGCCGGCCCTACAATTGTCATCTTGAAATTTAATAATGTGGCTAATTTTTATTGAGTCCTTCCCATTGCCATTTGCTAGCCTAAGAACTTTATAGGTTTGCCCTCTTTTCATCCACCAACTGTACGTGTAGGGATTACTATCATCCCAGTGTTACCAAGGGGGCAGCTGATGCACAGAGAGGCTGAGTCACTTGTCACAGATCACAAAGCTTGAGAGTGGCCAAGCTGGACTTGAACCCTGAATCAGGCTCCATCCTGCTCACTGCCCCCCTTTCAGGTCAGCAGTCATGATCTCATGATGGTTACCCCAAAACCACAGGAGGGCTGCCCTTCTTAGGCCCTGGACCCCAAGGAGAGCGGTGCTCTTGGCTCTCTTGGGGCTCGTGTACCGGGGCTTCCCCTGCTCAGACCCTTGGCACAGACCTTGCCAGGGGTCCTGGAGGGCCCTGTCATTCCCAGGGTCTGTTGTGAGGGCTGTATTGGCCACATTCAGGGAACACTGGTTCTTGGTGGCTGGACAAGTGGGCTTTTAGAAGCAGTGTTATTCTCTTTCCGAAACAAGATGCCCATGGGTGCTGCTGCCTCCACAGCCTGTCACTCATCTGAGGGTGTCCCCACCTGCCCTGGGGACCGGAGCTCAGCCTGAGTGCTGTGGTGAGGGCTCATCCTTTCAGTACACAGTCACCGAGAGAGCATGGGGAACACTGAGGCAGAGGCAGCAGTCAGGCTCATCCTTGCTCCCCAGGCTTCCAGTCCAGGGGGAAACAGAAAAGTTCAACACTAGAGCAAAAGGAGTCCAGAGTCAGAAAACGAGCTGCTGGGGAAGGCAGGGCAGATTTCCCATGTCTGAACAGCATCTCAGAATAGGACTCCTGGCTAGAGGCCAGCACGCAGGAAAAGGAAGGGCATCAACAAAGGTCCACCCTGTGGGTCCTGACGGGTCCAGAGCCCGACCCCCTTGAGCCAAGGAAACCACAGCCTTCTGGTCCCCATTGCAATGGCTTCTCAGTGACCTTCTCTGTCTTATTTTCCCTGCAGGGGAGGTACATCAGCTTCACCCTAGTGAAGCCCCCCTGCACACAGATGCCCTGCAGCTCAGAGATCTGCCTTCGACCCAGCCAGCAGTGCTTCCCCAACAGCTGCTGCTCATGGTGCCAACACCCCCGACCCATCTGCTCCCGGCCTCCCTCCAGGACGCTGTCACTGATCCTTCCCCCTGCCCAGACACTCTGCAGAACTGCTTTGTCACTCCCACCCCCTTAGCCCAACCTCTAAAGCACCAAAGATTCTTAAGAGCCCCTTGGGTACTGAATTGTACATATATATTGAATCTTGGTTTACAGTCAAAAGGAGTTGGAATTTGTTGCTGATCAGCAAGAAATTTGTTACCTGGTGAGCATTGCTCCACTGTGTGAGACGTCTATCTATACTGCTCCTGCGGAGACAAAGTACTCTGGTGTCCTGTGGATGCAGACATGGATGAGTCCCACTCCCCACAGCCTGGCCTTTGTCTGTCCCCAATGGCTGGGACACACGGGGTTTTGGCCAAATTTTGCTGTTTGAAAAAGATCAAAACGTCTTTGAAATATGAATGCAACCATATGTATGTCACTCACTGGCTATTACTTAATCTCTTTAGCAAGTTATTAATCTTGTCGTGCTTCAGTTTCCTCACTCAAAAGATGAGGATAATGGTATCTCCTCTAAAGGGTGCCATGAGGTTGATGCTATGGGCTGCAGTGTGCTCACCTCAGGGCCAGGCCCCTGTTAAACACTCAGTGCCAATAGCTAATGCCTTCCCTCTTTTCCCCAGGGGAAGAGGGGAAGATGAGCTCAGAGACAGCAAAAAGTACTTGGAGAGCTCAGGGGAGTCAGAATGGAGACAATGCCTGGGCCTGTCAGCTCTGGACACCAGGATGTGGGTTGGCACACATGAGCATTCTCTGTGAGGAGGCTGCTGACCACAGACAGCTTCATGTCCCAGGCCCACAATCCACATAACCTCCCAGACACTATTGGAAAAGGCCCTGGAACCTACTGCCTCCTTCAGAAATGTTAGCTCCCTTCCCATACCCTTAATATTTCTCATGATATAAAGGAAACCCTTGGTGCCCACGTTCCTGAGCTTTAAAGTCTGCTCCTCTCCTAACAGAGCCAGACATTCCAGTCATTCAGATCCCTTCTCGTTAAGTCTTTTTCAACCTGATCCAGTTTTCCTTCCACACTAACATTCCTGAGGACTATCCATAGGCAAGACTCCATTTTGAGAATCCTAGAACATGCATGGAAGTGAGACTGAAGCAACCCCTTGAGTCACAGAGTCCAAGAAGGACCACATTAGAAGGGTAAGCAGAATGGCTACACTCTAACCACACTGCCGCTCTCCCAGGCCATCCTAGCACTGCACTGAGAGGCCCTTCTGGGCCTACAGATTCTGCAATATGAAAACGGGAACCCAAGGTGAACATCTAGCCTTGCCCAGCGTTAGGGGATGCTTCCAAGGAGGCCTACTCTAGTCTCACCTAACTAGGATCACAGGAGGAATCTGCAGGAATCTGGGAAGGAGAAGGTGGGCAGGCCGTATAGCAACTAGCACTCAGATATCAGCAGACCATGTTCCTCTTATCAGCAGTTCCTGAGTAGAGATCGCAGCCAGTGGTTCTGCCAATCTGCAGAGCCAAGCCAGTGGACCTATCTAGCCAGGGAGCTTTGTGGGCTGTTCTGCCTGATTCGAGTCCCCAGCAAACAAGCTGTGCAGGCCTTGGAGCCTGTTGTGCCCCCTCACCCATGCAGGGAAGCAAATTCCTAGCCCCACCAAATGGCGAATATAGCCCCCAGTTCTCCTCAACCAGGAAGCATAACCAGAATACCCAAGAAGCTGCATAGCCCATCCTACTGCCTCACTTGCAGTGGCTTCAAGCAGAGACTGCAGCCAGCAAATCTTCCTGTCTGCAGAGCTGAGCTGGTGGCCGTGTCTGACCAGAGAACTTGGTAGCATTCTGCTTGATTCAGGTCTTTAGCCAATGAACCATGCTGGCCTTGGAGTCTGTTCTGCCACTCTGCCTAGGCAGGGAAATGGGTTCATGGCCCCATTTACTACTGAGTAGAGTACTAGAGGCCTGACCAGAGAATCAGGGCAACTATGGAGCCCATTCTACAGCCACACTTGGGCATGAAACCAAGAAAGTGGTTCCATCCATATGTTCCCAGCCAGTGGCACCCCGCTGACCTCAGAGCTCAGGCAATGGCTTCATCCAAATAGAGACCCCAATAGCAAGCCCCACTTACACAAGTATGCTGTCTACTCACCTGTCCAGATCCCCAAGCTGAGCTAACTAGTGAAGGTGCTGTCTTAACTAGTGGCAGACTATCTCTGCCAAAGCAAACCTGTAAGGTAGGGAAGAGGAGACTGCTTAGTCACATGTACACATACCAACACAATGAATCAGGGATCATTAATAATCAGGTAAACATGACACAGCCAAAGAAAACTAATAAAGCTCCAATAACTGACTTTATCAGAAAGTGAACTTTCTGATAAAAAATTCAGAATAATCCTTTTAAAGAAGTTTAGTGAACTATAAGAACACACAGACAAGTAAACAAAATTAGGAAAACAATGCATAAACAAAATGAAAAGATCAACAAAGAAATAGAAACCATCAAAAGAGCAAATAGAAAACTAGAGCTGAAGAACACAATGACTTTACTAAAGAAAACAATAGAGAGCTTCAACAGCAAACCTGAGCAAGCAGAAGAAAGAGTCAGTGAACTAAAAGATAGGTCGTTTGAAATTATCAGAGGAGGAAAAAGAAAAAAGAATGAAGACAGACTACGAATTATGGGACATCTTCAACAGAACCAATATATGAATTAGGAGAATCCTAGACTGAGAAAAGAAAGAGAAAGGGAAAGTATTTTAAAACAATAAAAGTTGAAAAGTTATCAAGCATGGAGTGAGAAATGGACATCCAGATTTATGAGGCCCAAAGGAACACAAATATGTTGAACCTGAAAGGGATATACTGAGACACGTTATAAGTAAATTGTCACAAGTCAAAGAAAGAGAAAATTTTGAAAGCAGCAAGAGAAAAGTGAGTTGTCACGTACAGGGAAGCCCCATAAGACTTAGGTTGGATTTCTCAACAGAAACTTTGCAGGCCAGGAGAGGGAGGGATAATATATTCAAATAGTGAAAGAAAAAAACTGTCAAGCAAGAATACTATACCCAGAAAAACTGTTCTTCTAAGTGAAAAATAGATAATAATATTCCCAATAAACAAAGGATGGAGTTCATAACCAGTAGACCTGCCTTACAACAAATGCTAAAAGATGTTCATCAAGTAGAAATAAAGGATGATAATTAACGTCATGAAAACATATTAAGGGGCTGGCCCGGTGGCGTAGTGGTTAAGTGCGTGTGCTCCACTTTGGCGGTTTGCAGGTTTGCAGGTTCGGATCCTGGGCGGGCACGGAAGCACTGCTTGTCAAGCCATGCTGTGGGGGCATCCCACATAAAGTAGAGGAAGATGGGCACGGATGTTAGCCCAGGGCCAATCTTCCTTGGCAAAAAGATGAAAACATATTAACATATTTGTAAAACTCACCAGTAATCATAAATATATTATCAAAGACAGATTCTCCAATATTGTAATGTTGGTGTGTAATTCACGTAGTACACTAGTTTAAAAGTTAAAAAAATATATATATATATGAAACAAGCATAACTACAATAATCTGTTATTGAATACACAATATAAAAAGTGTGTTAATTGTAACATTGATAACCTAAAATGTGTGGGATGGAGAAGTAAAAGGATAACATTTATATGTAATATCAATCTTAAGTTGTTATCAGCTTAAAATAGGATATTATAATATATTTTATGAAAGCCTCTTGATAACCACAAAGGAAAAACCTATAGTAGACACACAAAAGAGTACCAAAAAGGAATCCAAGCATACTCCTACAAAAAGTCATCAAATAACAAAAGAACAGCAAGATAAGAAAGGAACAATCAATCTATAGAACAGCCAGAAAACAGTTAACAAAATAGAAATAGGAAGTATTTTCTTTATCAAGAATTACTTTTAACATAAAAGAATTAAATTCTCCAATCAAAAAACTTAGAATTGCTGAATGGATATACAAATAAGATCCAACAATATGCTGCATACAAGAGACTCACTTTAGTTTTAAAGACACCCATAGACTGACAGTGAAGGGATGGAAAAAGAGATTTCGAGCAAATGGTAACCAAGTTAAAGACAGCTTTGATAACTACACTTATATCAAACAAAACAGACGAGGCTAAAAATGGTCAAGAAACAAGAAGGTCATTATATGATGATAAAGAGGTCAATCCATCAAGAAGTTATAACAATTGTAAATATTTATGCCCCCCAACACCAGACCTGCTAAATATATAAAGCAATTCCTAACAGAACAAAAGAAGAAATAAACAGCAATACAATAATAGTGGAGAACTTGAATACCCCCCTCTCAACAATAGAAACATCATCCAGACAGAGAATTGATAAGAAAAGGGCAGATTTGAACAACACTATAAATCAATCAAGACCTAACAGACATATACATTACATTCCATCAAACAGCAGCAGAATACACATTTTTCTTAACTACCTGTGGAACATTTTCTAGGATAGATCATATGTTAGGCCACAAAACAAATCTTAGCAAATTTAAGAAGATTGAAATCATACCAAGTATCTTTCCCAACCACAATGGTATGAAACTAGAAATGAATAACATGAAGAAAGCTTAAAAATATCAAATACAAGAAAATTATTTGAACAACCAGGAAATCAAGAGGAAATCAAAAGGAAAATTTTTTAAATCTTGAAAAATGAAAATGGAAATATAGCATACCAAAATGTATGGGATGCAGCAAAAACAGTTTAAGAGGGAAGTTAACAGCAATGAAAACATCAAGGAAAAAGAAAAATCTGTAATAAGCAACTTTACTTTACACCTCAAGGAGCTAGGAAAAAAAAAACTAAGTACAAAGTTAGCAGAATGAAGAAAATAATAAACATTGGAGCAGAAATAAATGACATCAAAAACAAGAAAACAATAGAAAAGATTAACAAAGCTAAGAGTTGACAAACTTTTAGTTAGACTAACCAAGAATAAAGAAAAAGGACCCAAATCAATAAAATTATAAATGAAAGAGAAGACATTACCACTGATACCACAAAAATACAAAGGATCATAAAAGTCTACCATGAACAACTATACACCAACAAATTGGACAATTTAAAAGAAAT